AATTAAAAAGTTGTTTTATTGAAAAAAAAAAACATATATAAGTGAGTATATACTCACTTCATTCAGTATAGCAACTTTATATTTTTCAGATATAAAAGCATTACGAGGGAAAAATAAACAACTAACCCAGGCTGTTGCAAAACTTCAACAGGAAAAGGCATTTCATCTATCCCAGATGACAACACTACAAAAGGACTTTTTCACGTTGAACTCCAAATATGTTGTAAGTTACTCTATCAGTAAAATTGTGTATGAGAATATAAAAAAACACCAGCGGTTAGAAACGACTGTGGTGTTACGGAAATAGACATATCGGATCACAGACAACAGCTCATTAGTATTGATATTGTCGGTTATAAAATATCATATTATCATTATATTTTATTAGTATTTGTTATATACATACCACCAACTGCTAATAACGTACATGTGCAAAATTTATTTGAAACACTAGAATCACTTGAATTGCTATATGATCAAAATCTACTAATACTTGGTGATTTCAACCAACCACTTTTTATAAATAAGGTATCAGAGGAAAAAAATCTTAAAATGCAAAATCTTCAACAATTTATCAGTTTTTATGACCTGAAACAACACAACAATGTGCTCAATAAATCATATCGACTCCTAGATCTCGTACTATCTAACAATCATAGCTGAAATGTCATTCATGATGACCTACCATTCATCCCTGAAGATGACTATCATCCGGCTTTGAATATTTCTCTAGTATTTAAGAAACAGGAAAGTAGGATTCCGTATGATGACAAAGTGTTTTTTTTTTTTGTAAAGCAAATTTCCCACCACTCTATTCTTTGTTTATGAACACAGATTGGTCTGTTATTGAAAACTGTACCGAAGTAAACTTGGCAATAGACACATTCTATGCAATAACTTATTCATTAATGGATCAATGTGTTCCTCTTAGACCAAATTTTACCAGTAAATATCCAGCCTGGTTCAACAGGCTGGATATTTACTGGCAACGAGATCAAACTTAAAGATAAATTATTTGAAAGATCAAAATCAAACTATTTAGAAACTATACGTGATCAATTTAGAAATCTTCGTAGGTCAATAAAAACCCAGACATCACAAGCCTACAAGGAGTACAAACAGAAAGCAGAAAATTTCATCAGAACTGATCCCTCCTCATTTTGGACCTATACCTATATGCATAGTAAAAAAGGCACTTCAAGAATTCCGAATG